TGATCCAAGCATGGCATTTTCTGTCACCTCATGTGCTACAAGTGGACTAGGAACTGACTGTGGATAGACCAGTGATTGCCCATATATAAGCTCAGGTTGGAGCTGAAAAAAATTAAAACAAGTCAACAAGTGCCAAAATATGACCTTGAGATATCCCACTTGAATTTCAGGAATGTCTTAAGAACAAATATACCACATTAAGCACTAATGACAGAAGACAAGACGAGCTGTGGGATGACATCAAGAATATCATACATGAACAAAGTAAAAGGTCATGAAAAAGACAGGAGAGAAAGTGGATGTCAGAAGAGACTCTGAAACTTGCTCTTGGTTGTGCAGTAGGTGAGGCAAATGGAAGAAATGATAAGTCAATGAGCTGAACAGAAAATTTCAAAGAGAAACTTGAGAAGATGAAGTCAAATATAATGAAATGTGCAAAGACCTAAAGTTAGAAAATAAAAAAGGAAGAACAGTTTAAGTATATCTTAAATGGAAAGAAATTAAGGAGGAACAAAATTAAGCCTTGAGTTACAATATTGAAAGATTCTATGAGCAAAATATAAAATGATGCAGGAAGCATCAAAAGAAGATGAAAGAATGCAAAGTCACTGAAAAACAAACAAACGTCTAGTTGACATTTCAAGAGTTAGCATACGAGCAAGAACCAATGATACCGAAAGAAGTCCAAACTGCACTGAATGCATTAGCTAAAAACAAGGCTCCAGGAATTGAGGGAATACCCAATGAACTGTCTCAATAAGCTGATGAAGCACTAGAAGCACCCATTTGTCTAAGCCAAGAAATTTGGAAGGCAGTTGCTTGACCAATTGACTGGAAGCGATCCATATTTGTATCTATTTCAGATAAAAATTACCCAACAAAATGATCAAATTTAGAGTAACCACCTTCCCAACATGATCGCTGAAGACAAAGTGGGTGCATAAGCAAATGTGGTGAAGAAAGTAGATGGTGCCTGGCTATCAAAAGATACAGCATCTGGGGTCTTCAAGGCTTGAGGATAAACAAGAGGCCATCTAGCTGAGAAACAACAAAGCCCACATGGAAGAAGCACACCAGCTGTGTGATCATGAGGTGTCGATAGGATCAGGTATCAGGCATCAAAGACCCAGAACAAAAAATCATATCATTGTGAATGAGGGGAAGTGCGGAGAGGGGACCCAAAGCCCATCTGTAGGCAACTGGACATCCCCTTACAGAAGGGTCACGGGGAGGAGACGAGTCAGTCAGCGTGCAGTGTAGCAATGATGAAATATACAATTTTCCTATAGTTCTTGAATGCTTCCCAATTTTACCTTAGTTGACAGCCAGCCTACACTTGCTACATTGGCACAGATAGGAACTGGAAATACAGAGAATCCAGGACAGATGAACCCTTCAAGACCAATATTGAGAGTAGCCATACAAGGAGGGTAAGGGGAAGAGGAGGTGGGGGAGAGGAGATGGGGGAACCGATCACAATGATCTACATATAACCCCCACCCAGGAGGACGGACAACAGAAAAGTGGGTGAAGGAAGACATTGGACAGTGTAAGACATGAAAAAAAAATAATTAACAAGGGTTCATGAAGGAGGGGAAAAATGAGAAGCTGATACCAAGGGCTGAAGTAGAAAGAAAATGTTTTGAAATGATGATGGCAACATATGTACGAATGTGCTTGACACAATAGATGGATGTATGGATTGTGATAAGACTTGTGCAAGCCCCAATAAAATGATTTTTTTTAAAATTATACAGCAACATCCCTGAAGTCACATGTAAGTAAACTTTTGCTGAATATCCTCAACCAGTGTATGGCTGCAGTAGCAATTGACAGGGAGCTGCTTGAGATGCAGGCTAGATTCAGAAGTATATGGCAAAAGGGACACCATTGCTGATGTTGATGCATCTTGGCGGATAGCAGAAAATACCAGAAGGTTTATTTGGGTTTTATGGCCTATGCTAAGACATTCAGCCATATGGACTATAAACAA